AATATAATGGGATTAATCAATTTTCATAAGATGCACATACACTTACCAATTTTTAATGTAAAACAGCTGCAAGATATTTCATAAAATAATTGACAGCATGGTTGACCCAAATAACATCCTAAAGCAGTCCTAAGCGGATTATCAATTTTGATACTAACCACGTAGCCATCAACCGTCCATTGGAGAATATCGAAGGTAGCTGTCACATTACCATTTGGATCCAAGGGGTCATAGCAATCTGTGAATCAGAGAAGTAATCTGATTTTTAACAAACAGTTCTTCACCCAAAAAGCCAAAATCAAAAAATGAAAAAAAAAAGCAGCAAAAGAAAAGTAGGATGCCTGAAAAACTGCACAGGGAAGCTAATAATATCAATATCAGTGCAAAATGGCATACACAAGAATTGATTAACCCTATGTTCCCTTGGAGATTAACAAGCTGAGATGGATAGATAGTTGTTATAGTCTGCTTAGATGAATAGGGTTTTTGTGGACTTTATTATCAAGGAAAAACATTGTTCTAATATTTTTCTATAACCTGCTGATCTATGTTGACCATCCCAGTTTGAAATAAACGATAATCATAGGAAACTTCAACAAACATTAACAGACAAAATTTTAAAAGATAAAGTACAAGGCAATTAGATATTCTATCAATCCATGCAAACAAAATAAGCACCAGCCCATTATGGATTTGGAAGGACTCATGTGTATTCTTCACTATCTTTTCTTATTCGAAGAAGGATGTACAAGGATGGCAAGCATAAAATTCAGAACACATGGCAGAGCAACATAAGACAATTTAGATTACTAAAACAATCTAGAGCTGTACTCCAATCTCATCCCCTCCCTTCAATGGCATGCCCCTCTCCAACCGCTTTCGCCATATCCAAGTCTATCCTAGCCGACTCATTCAGTTGAAAAGATTTGATTCAGATTCAAAAACAATTAAACACGCCTGTATAATTACTAACATACATACATGCAGAGAAGACATAATTATCAACATTTACATAATAAATGCGAAGAGCCAATTACATACCTGCATAATTAAAAAATATAGCCATTAATTTAGTTGCTTTGTAATCAATATCTAAGTATATGATGCATAGACAATGTGAAGTATAATTGTGAGTTGTGGGAATGAAATAAAATCCATTTGTTCATTTTCTTTCCTCCTCTGGATTGAAAAAAAAAATCTAAACAGCTTGAATTGTACAATAGAAATATATATCATTATCCTGTAACGGTTGGGAATGGTGGACTTATTTGTAGCATAGAAATATTATCCTGAACACTCACTATCTTTGAAGAACTGAGTGAAAGTGAACTGGATCAAGAAAGTAAAAACAAACCAGAGTTAGCCTACATCCCTTTGAAAGGCATTGCCTCTTCCAAACCCATGTAGTTAATCATCTCCCAAGGAGCATGAAGCAACAGAACATAATAGGTCATCATGTAAAGTGCTACTAAATGTGTATCTACCAATATGTATTATCATCTGTGAAAAGAAAAGAGGACTAATAGGTCATCATGTAAAGTGCTACTAAATGTGTATCTACCAATATGTATTATCATCTGTGAAAAGAAAAGAGGACTAATAGGTCATCATGTAAAGTGCTACTAAATGTGTATCTACCAATATGTATTATCATCTGTAGCTACATATCCATTTTGCTACAAACAATGATGAAAAGGAAATTTATTCCATATGGTCATCTATCATCCTATATTAAATTCAAATCCTCGTATCCATTTTCCTACAAATTAAATGATGATGAGAAGGAAATTATTCCATACGGTTATCTATCATCCTATATTAAAGTGAAATCCAATTACTTCAATAGCCAAAAAGTGAAAAGAAAATGGGGAAATTCTTTGAATAGGTTAACATCATGTAAAGTGCTAAACATGTATCATCTGCATCTATATATCCATATTCCACAGTTAAAAGGGTAACAAGATGTGGAAACAAAAGCAATTCACAAGGAACATCAAAGTGAAGAAAACAATACCCCCAAGGCTGTGAAAAAAGCTATTAAACAGAGATTTAATCTGGGTTTGTTTTTCCTTTGATAATTCTCAGCAACAAAACAGAGGATCAGAGTAAAACCCACCAAATATCAAACATAAAACAGAGTATCAGAGTAAAACCCACCTAATATCAAACACAAAACAGAGTATCAGAGTAAAATCCACCTAAATACTGTTCATGAGGAGTTCAAAATCAATCATAATAATCTTCTTAACACTGCAACTTGATCGGAGAAGTAACCCAAATAGATATTTGTACTGTGATAGCAGAGTCAAATAAACCCTAAAAGGGATAAACATAAAGTTCAGAGGTGAAGAATGGGAAGTCAATAAAGTTGAAGAGTAGTGTGATACATCAATGTAAAGGAATTCTCGGGTAGAAAACGATTTCTGAGATTTCTGAGATCGAAGATAAAACCCTAAATCCTGAAGTTACCAAAACCCTAGATCTGTAAATAACCTTTCTGTGAATGTTACCAGATATAAATGGATGAAAAGGGAACTTCTCATTTGCTTTGGTCCATGGCGATGGCGATGGCAATGGCGATGTGCGACGGACGTGAGCAATGGTGGTGAGGGACTTCGGTGAGCTAGAGAGAGTGGGCACCGATTGAGAGAGAGAATACAGAAAGAGGGAGAGGGTGGATCAACATACAGAGAGACACGGAGAGCGAGCTGGAGACAGAGAGGAGAGACGGGATTATAAATGGCGACCAAATTTTATAAATGGCGACCAAATTTTTAGAGAGAGTGGGTACAAAATGACGTCGTTTTATAAATGGCGACCAAATTTTTTTTTGTCGCAAAAAATTTTCATTTTCCCTCTCCATGTTTCAAATTTCCCTCCCAAACTTTTCGCGACCAAATGACCAAATTAGTCGCAGAAAAGGTACCTTCGCCGACAAATTTTTTTAGTCGCCAAATCTCAATCAACGGTGACTAAAATATTAGTCGCTAAAAGTACTAATTTGGCGACTAATTTTTTTTGGTCGCCAAAATGTAACATTCCGCGACTAAATTTGAAGTTGGTCGCCAAAAGCATATCAATTTCTGCGACTAACTCATTTTTGGTCGCCAAAATGTGACCTTCTGCGACCAACTTATTTTGGTCGCCAAAAATAATTATCATTTACGACTAATTAATATTTTGATCGGCAAATGTCATTTTTTTGCGACTAAAATTTTTTTGGTCGGCAAAAGTGGTCGGCAAATGTGTAAATTCTTGTAGTGAATGTTCCCCCCAAGATCAAGCATTTTTTATGGTGAGTGTGTAACAATTGTCTTGCCACTCGTCCGAACCTCTTTTTGCAAAAGTGTGTAGCAGCGAGTCAATGCCAAGTCTGTAATCTTGCGGCAGAATTAATACAACACTTGTCAGTAGGGTGTGAGTAGATCAAAGCTGTTTGGTTCGGGTGTGGGCTTGGATTTCGAATAGAGTTGCCATGTTTCCAATCTATACAACGGTGGCTTGCAGAAGCATGGACAACTTAGATAACCCTCAGGACCATCAAGAGATTATTAGCAAGGTAGTGTGGATATGTTGGCATATTTGGAAAGCACGTAATGACAAGCCTGTTAGGGAAGCCATGGAGTTTGAAGCAGCCCAGTCTTACTTGGTGTCTCCTTCCCTTGTTACGCGGTCGACTGGTGATGTCCATCGAACATGGAGTCCCCCAGCCCAAGGGTCTTTCAAAGTGAACTGTAATGTAATGGTTAACTCTGGTTTTAATGTATAATGCTCAAGGGAAACTCATTGATGGGTTGGCCCGTGAGGTTACTATCACTTCGGTGTTTCAGGGTGAAGCTCTAGTAATTCGTATGGCTTATGTGATCACTACAAGAATAAACACATTTGCCGACTAAAGATTTGGTCGGCAAAAGTCCAATTTTTGGTCGGCAAAACATATTCCCGACCAATTTTTTTGGTCGCCAAGTTGGTCAGCAATTGAGGGTAGCGGAAAGTAATTAGCGACTAAAAAGATTTTTAGTCGGCAAAACGTTCTATTTAGCGACTAAATTGTTGGTCGCTAAACATATAATTATCGCGACTAACCTATTTAGTCGCGAAAAGACTTTGGTCGGCAAAAATTACATTCAACGACCATACATGTTAGTCGCTAATTTGGTCGGCAAAAATTACTTTCAACGACCAACAAAATTGGTCGGCAAAAATTACTTTCAACGACCAACAAAATTGGTCGGCAAAAATTACTTTCAACGACCAACAAAATTGGTCGGCAAAAATTACTTTCAACGACCAACAAAATTGGTCGGCAAAAATTACTTTCAACGACCAACAAAATTGGTCGGCAAAAATTACTTTCAACGACCAACAAAATTGGTCGGCAAAAATTACATTCCACGACCAAAACTTCTTCGTCGCTAAATAATAGTTTCTACGACCAAAAAATTTGGTCGCTATTTGTTACTTTTCAAATAAAATAAATTAAATTTTCAGCGACTAAAATTTTTTGTCGGGAATAAGTTTTAGTGACAACATTACTACATTTAGGGACTAAAGAATTTAGTCGCCAAAAATATTATTTTTCATTTTATTAAACTTTTGGCTACTAACCATTTAGTCACTAAAAGTTCTACCTTAGGCATGGTGACTTTTGCCTACTAAAACTGTTCGTAGCCAAAAACCTATTAAGATTCATTTCTTTACTTTTTGCCACCAAAAGTTTTAGTCGCCAAATGATACCCTTTTTTCCGTGACTAAAAAATTTAGTAGCCAATAGTTTATTTCTCTCATTCAACATAATACATGAATAACCATGATTTAAATCCATACATAATACATGAATAACCAACGTCAATTTAAATTACAACCTGTAAACATAATACTTTCTATTACATTTGTAATTAATACAGCAATGATACACAAACACCAGAGAAAATCAAACCAGCCACCTACAACGAGGAAGATTAGTGATTTGAAGCAGCTTAATTACGTCCTATAGCACCCAAAGCAAGAGAGATTTAGTCTTCTGTCCAGCTCTGCTCAACAATTTCACACACTCTCCGGTTGTATTCACGCTTGTTCTCACTAAACAACAATGCTGCTTCTGAATTTGCAGGTGAGTTTGCATTTGGATCACAGAGCATTGACTGAAATGAGAAAAAGGGGAAACCTGCATTTGGGCTTGGGTTTGGGTTTGGATCACAGAGTAATGACTGCAATGAGAAAAATGGGAAAAATTAAAAAACATCATACCTGAACTAGTGACCAGTAGCTTTGTGGAATAGTAAAATGATTGCAAAGTATGAATTTAATACACACCACGCATTAACACGTGCCCCAAGTTGTTATGTTATATCTATGAGCCTGTTAACAATTAATGAAAGGTTGGCCGCTATTTTGCCACACTAAATCCAAGGGATAGTATGCATGGAGTGGCCAACATGGGTTCAATTCTGCTACCTTATGAAAATTTGTTTAAAAAAGAAAAGTAAAAGTTCTGTTAAATAAAGTGGATAGATAGGTATGCACAAACCAATCAACTTTATTTTGCTGCTCTCAAATATTTTTGTATTTCATTCTAGATTTCTCATATTTTATATTACCTACATAGAGGAAAGTGGAAACCATAAAGAAAAAAATAAATAGCACAAGAGCCAAAGGAGATATGTTTTGTGCTAGCATACTCTAAATTGGTTGCAGGCTTGACGCCCTTTTTTCTCAAAATCAACAAACACGAGTCTGTCATACACCACCAAAAAATTGACAGAAAAAGTTCTTTTGAATAACTCTTTTTCAAGCAAATTAACTACAACAGCTTCAGTTTACCATTTCACTAATCATTCGAAACTAGTATCTTTAAATCAAAATCAAAGGGTGATTTTTTATTACGAGCAATATCATCTGACCATTCCTAGCAATAGATATTTTTGAACCATATATACACTCCATCATACCTGGATAGATGTCAGTATAGCAGCTATATCATATATTGGACTCCACTGATTTTGTAGAATATCCAGACAAATACTTCCATCTGCATAAACTGGTCCAAGCACAAAACAATAGTATGAGCAACTAGCATAGGCATATATCTTAGTGACATTATGTTTCACCACATAAGAGAGGAAATCAAATATCAAGGAGCAATGAAAAGACACAAAGAAAGCAGGATTCTGTGCAACAAGCTCCAGTGGATATGGCACGAAGTGTAATAGAAGCATGCAAACTAATAAACCCCAAAAAAGTAATAGAAACTTATAAAGACAAGTATAAAGCAATGTTGGCAGTCCTAAGAGGAGTAAACAGTATTGAAGTTAATATTAGTGGCAGAGCATGACTTCTGAGGATGCAGTGGCAGAAACTTACACTTTCCATAACACAACACAATAATCTGCTACCCTCTCAATCAAGAAAGCAAAAGGATTTAATTACTTATGACAAATAGATTTTACGTGAAGCCTTCTATAAACATATCCATTACCTTCCCACTTCTCAACTTCAAGCACTTAAAGCAAACCAGGCTCAACAACCGCTTTAGTTCGCTCACATGGGAAGGATGATATACTGGAATTGGTAATTCTATATACCCAAAGTGACCTGAAAGGTAAAAAAATGAACAAAACTTTAGCAATACTTCAATGTGTCCAGCGGTCATGACCATTCAAACTTCTCAGTGTAATCAGAAAATAAAAAGGATTAAAACATGAAAAATACCTTCGCATGTCCCGGGTTCCGCAGCACCACATGATTCACATTTTCCAAATTCAAGCGGCAAACTAAGGAACGGATTTGAAAGTTGACTAGCATGGCTTATAGGGAAATCACTATTGGATGATGTGCACTAACAAAAAAATAAATAAAAGGAATCATACCAACTTATTCAACCAGAATGGTCACAAGATCCAAAGTTGCACTTAATCAAATGCCAATTGTAGGACAATTTGTTCGGAAGGAGGTTTACATCCATCACAAGATCTAAAATATGTCTCTGGAACAATATTAGGACTCAAATCTTCTAGGGCCCAGTTTTTTTTTTTAAGAATTTTTAAAACTATAAATGAAAAAACACATCTGAGAACTGTTTTAGTTTCCAAAAAAAAGACAACAATTTTCAATTTCAAAATCTAAAGAAAAAATATTATTTTCAAAACAATTTTTCATTCCCTATCCCCTGCGTACCTCCTCCCTCCACTCACTGAACATTTTTTCTTAATCTCATTTTATTTTTTAAAAACATATGTATGATGTACCAAATATTGAGCATTAAGACTCTATTTACATTATCAATTACCTTGCCATGTATCTTCTGGACTCTATTTACATTATGGTAAGACTTTGTCTATGAGCATTAAGACTCTATTTACATTATCAATTACCTTGCCATGTATCTTCTGGACTCTATTTACATTATGGTAAGACTTTGTCTATGAGCATTAAGACTCTATTTACATTATCAATTACCTTGCCATGTATCTTCTGGACTCTATTTACATTATGGTAAGACTTTGTCTATGAGCATTAAGACTCTATTTACATTATCAATTACCTTGCCATGTATCTTCTGGACTCTATTTACATTATGGTAAGACTTTGTCTATGAGCATTAAGACTCTATTTACATTTTAGTTTTTTACGAAAAGATATGTAAAAAATAGGAAGAGATGGTGGCGATAGTAGTAGTAATGGTAGTCGTAGAGGTGAAGTAGCGACAATAGAAGTAATAATGGTGGTGGAATGGTGTTTGCAGTAGTGGTGAAGGTGATAGAAGAGATGGGTGGTGAGAGAGAGTGATAGACAGAGAGACACAGAGATAAGGGAGAGAGTGATAGATAGAGACACACAAAGATAGAGAGAAAAGAGATGAGCGAGAGAGATAAAGAGACGAGAGATGAGCGAAAGAGACAGAGAAAGAAAAGAGATGAGAAAAGAGATGAAAGAAGAGATAGATGAGTGAGAGACACAGAGAGACACAGAGATGAGGGAGAGAGCGAGCAATGTGAACACAATAGGAGAGAGAGATAAACAGACAGATAGACACATAGAAAGAAAGAGAGAGAGAGAGAGAGAGAGAGATTGAAGAGTGAGAGACAGACAAACAGACACAGAGAGAGAAACAAAGAGAGAAGAGTGATAAGTGAGAGAGAGATAAAGAGAAAGAGATATAGAGAGAGACAGACAGAGAAAGAGATAGAGAGAGACATATAGAAAAATAGAGAGAAACAAGCGATGAGAGAGATATATAGAAAGAGAACGAAAATAGATGAACGAGAGAGAGAACAGAAAAATAGAGACATAGAGAGAAGACAAATGAGAGAGATAAAGAGAAGAAAGAGGAACGAAAGACACACAGACAGATAGACAAACAGACAGAGAAAGAAGAGTGATGAGTGAAAGAGAGAAAAATAAGAGTGGTGGTAGTTGAATGGCATTTGCAGTAGTGGTAAATGTGGTAGAGAAGATGGGTAGTGAGAGAGAGAGAGATGAGTGAGAGATGAATAGAGAAAAGAGATAGAGAGACAGAGAAAGAGACAGAGTGATGAGCGAGAAAGAGACAAAGTGGTCGCTAAAAGTGCATTTTTTTGTAGTGGATCGATAAATCGAAAGGGAGCTCAATAAATAAAGAAGACAGATAATTCAAAACTCTTTTCAAAACTTAATTCAAATCAATATTTTAAACATTTTAAATATTTAAATATTTTAAAAATATTTTAATTTTGTGAGAAACAGATAAAGAAGAGAGAGAGAGAGAGAGAGAGAGAGAGAGAGACAGAGATAACGTGATGAGCGAGAGAGAGAGATAGACAAAGTGGTTGCTAAAAGTGTATTTTCTTATAGTGGATCGATAAATCGAGAAGGAGCTCCATAAATAGAGAAGATGAGAGTAAGAGAGTGAGCAAGACGAACATAGTAAGAGAGAAATAGACAAATAGACAAGTAGACAGAGAGAGATAGAGAAGAGTGATGAGTGAGAGAGAGACAAGGAGAGAGAGATAGACAGAAAAAGAGATAGAGAAAGAGAGAGAGAGAGAGATGAAGAGATAGAAAAAGAGAGAGAAACAAAAGATGAGCGAGAGATAGACAAAAAGAGAGAGAAATAGAAAGACAAGAGTGATGATTGAGAGAGAGACAGAGAGAGAAAGAGATAGAGACAGAGAGAGAAAGAGATAGAGACAGAGACAGAGAGAAACAAATATTTCGCAACCAATTTTTCTTTGCAGATTAAAGGAAAATTCAAACCCTCTATCTTCTCTCTCTCAGATTAAGGTTTGCTCACTGTTTTGAAACAGTGTTGTGAAATTAAGGCTCTACAAACCTGAAAGGAAATGAAAAAAAAATGAGGGGAAAAGGCAGAGGGAAAAAAGTGAGGAAATTAAGTTTGGGTGGGCAGTCCGGTGAGTCAGTGAAAAATGGGGGGAAATTAGTTTTATTGTTATTTTATTGAAATTTTTTTTTATTTGATAGAAGTAGGGGTAATATTTTAATGAAAAGTATTTTTCGTTAAAATAAAGTTAATTTTTTATGGTCGATGAAAAATATTTTTTGTGACCCATTTTTTTTTTTTTTGTTACTAAAAATCAAGAGCTAATTTTTTGTGGTAGAGGAGAGGAAGCGGTAGTAGTAGTGAAGGTGGTGGATAAAAGGTGAGGTGGTGGTGGTGGTAGTGGTGACAGCGACCAAAACTATATATACTGCGACCAAACTAATTTTTAGTCGCTGAAATTAAGGTTTTGCCGACCAAACTTTTGGTCGCGAAAGATAAAAAATAATTTTTTATTTTTCTTTCAGCGACTAAATTATTTTAGTTGCCAAAACTATATATACAGCAACAAAAATATTTTTTTAGTCGCCAATTGTGACAAATTTAGCGACTAATTTTTTTTAGTCGCCAATTGTGAGATTTTTAGCGACTAATTTTTTTTTTAGTCGCCAAAAATTAATATACCCCGACTAAAAAAATTTAGTAGCTAAATATTGTACTTTTACCGACTAACATAATTTTTGGTTACCAATTGCACAATTTTTGGCAACCAAAATATTTTTAATCGGCAAAAGTGATCGTCAATTGTGTATTTTCTTGTAGTGGATGTGTGATACTTTGAATCTTAGTAGGGTGGAAATAGAGGGAGAACTTCGTGTTTCTAAGGATGATCCTTCATGGGAGTGTGCTGCTATCTTTGCAGACATCAGGCAATGGTGCAAAGGCTTGTGTTAACCTTTAGGTGGTGCCTGAGCTATACTAGGTGGACATCTTGTAAATTGCGTGGTTGGCCCTTTTTTTTTTTGTTTTTTTTTGTAGATAAGTTGTAAATTAAAGACAAAAAAATGTACACATTTACAAGGGTATACCAGATAATACAAAAAATCTAATACTGTCCCCCAAAGAGGGGGAGAGTAACACTATAAAAACAAAACAATGATATATATATAATTGGTACATTCTTTGCCCCCCATCTCGCCTTGTTACTTGCTTGTATTTCAATTATATATAATTGGTTCTTTCGATCCAAAAAAAAAAAAAATATTTTTATAAGTTAATTCATTATTGTTTAAATTTTTATACATAAATCATTCATTTAAAAAAAGCTCATAATTGTATCACCTTTGTCTTTAAAAAATAAATTATTTATTTTCAAAATCATATTTATAGTTATTATTTTGAAGATAAATATGATAAAATCAAGTGACTACAATTATTAGATTCGATCTAATTTTTATTTGAGTTAATTACTTAAAAATCCTATTTACAACTATTATGGTAGTTTAGGTTCTATCTAAGATTTTGTAAACCAATAAGTCCCATTTAGTAAAATTAAAAATATTATCAGTTTTTCTCAATTTTTAAAACTAAGAATATTATCAATTTTGCATAGTAGTATTCCAGATAATTGTTTCACTAACTGATGAAAGAAGACAAAGCACGGAATTAAACGTTTTTGTCCTTGTACCTATTGGTTTGATTCAACTATCCAATAAAATGAGAATATTACAATTTTTTTCAGTTTTAAAAGCGAGAATATTATTAGTTTTTTTATTTGTAAATTATTTTTATTTTAATTTTTTTTTTAAAGTTTTGCACATCAATGTTCCATCATTATAATCCTTTATAAATACAAAATTGTCAGTTTTGCACAAAAAAACAATTCAATTTTTAAATTTTTTCAGAAAAAACTTTATTTTATTTTTTTATTTTTAAGTTTTTTCTATTTGAAAGCTGATGTTTTAAAGTTTTAAAAATCAAAATAAATGTCAAATTATTGTATTCCTTTATAAATAATCATAAATGGTGAATAATCATTATTTGAAGGGTAATTTATACTATTAAAAATTTAATGGGACTCGAGAATCTAAAAAAAATTAGCTAAGATTCAATAGAGTATAAGTTCATAAATTAAAACTTGTGTGTAAATATCTCTTTTTATTTTATTTTATAAATGACGTATACAAAAATGACTGAAAAGTGAACAAATCAAATTATTAAAATCACAACTGTGATAACTCACATGTTCGAATTTTTCTCAATCCAATCTACGAATTGGAAACAATCCCAACCTTTGGTTAAACTTTGTAATGAAATGATAGTGGATGAAGATTTTTCTCTCTTTTCACCCCCCTTCATTTCTTTCTTTCTTTCTTTCTTTTTTTTTTTTTTTTTTTTTTTTTTTCATTTTTTCATTTTCAACAAAAGTAATTATCATGGGTTTTAATCGTGACATCTACAGGATTTTAAAACAAAAAAGAAAATTTTAAATTCATAATTCATATGAGTGTATCTATAGTTAATTTATGGATACAGTCATACAATCACCAAGACTTAAATATTTAATAATCATTTTGGTATAAAAAAAAAAAAAACAAGTAAAAATTATTAAAGCCATGTACTCGAGATAGAATTCGCTAAATACTTATCATGAATGTTTTGAGTGCTACACTAAGTACCAAACAAATACACCACTCATAATTTTCTACTTATCTTGTGGGTTACACGTTCAAACAAAAAGGGAATTATGATCCTATACCCAAACACTATTGAAGGAAAATTACTATACAAATAAAATATAAACTCTTTTTACAAACTTAAATGGTGTTTTGTACCAAAATATTAATATTTGAATAAGACACACTACAATTAAATAACCATCACATCAATTTATAATTAAGTTTGTTAAATAAATTGTTCATATAAAATGGTCATGCAAAGTTTTTGAGTTATGAACACA